ACTCCCTTGGGAGTATACGAATACTCCCCATTGCTCCCTATGCTTCTGTGTATAAGCATGTAATTTTGTATACTCCCTTTAACATTGGATGTCCTAGGAGGGGGAGTAATCCCTTTTACCTCCTAAACGAGCAATCGGGGAGCACACACAGAATTATCATCCCACAAACCTCCTAATGGAGCAATACGGGAGTACTCCCATAATAACCTCCCAGAAACCTCCCAAACGAGTAATAAAGGAGTACTCTCATAAAAGTCATCCAATATTACTCCCAAACGAGCAATAAGGGAGTACTCCCATAAAAGTCATCCCACATTCCTCCCAAACGAGCAATAATGGAGTAGTCTCATAAAAGTCATCCCACATTCCTCCCAAACGAGCAATAAAGGAGTACTCCCATAAAAGTCATCCCGAAACCTCCTCAGGGAGTAATTAAAGAGCACTGATTAAAAATGAGTATATTTTCCATTAGGCGAAAACGAGTTTTCGATTCATTTATTTATATTTAAATAAATAATTGTAACAAAAAATTAAACTTATTCTTTTTTCTTGTAAAATGAAACAGATTAAGTACCAGCGAAACTTAGATTTTGTTTTTCCCCCTCCAATAATTGTTATTTTTTTATCTTTTATTTAATATCTAGTGCACGATTTCTGAACAAAATTGTGTCATTTATAGGTATTTTTTAACTAATGCCGCTAGTTTTTAAGTAAAAATTTCATTCTAAATTAATTAGTTTTTGGCTTTTCATGCAAATTGCTAATAATCCTATAATATACATGACATCAATAAAAAATATTGACGTGCTAGAAAAAAAAAACAAAGATACTTAGATATTAAAAAATAACAACAACAAAACAACAACAGTAAAAAATTCGATCAAACTAACATTATATCAAATATATATTTTTTTAATTTATAAGTTTTTCTTTAGAAGTAAGCTTTGCGTCATAATAATGTAATGTAATGTAATTGATCTACAATAGTTTCTTTTGCTTGATAACTTTGGAGCAGTGTTTTTTTTTGTGGAAGGTACAGGCAAATTTTCTTTTTTCAAAATAGCGAGAAGCTCATTGCACATTCTCCTCGGGACACGATTTTTTATTGCCCATATTGCTAATTTTTTAGTAAGCGATGGCTCTTCGTCGCCATCATATGTCGAGCAATTAGGGCTTTCTTCGTTTACATCAACATTACTATATGCATAATTTTCTTCCGCTTCTGCAATTAAATCGTTACTCACAATTAAATTTTGTAGCTCCTTTTTCGCAAGGCGTCTTAAATGTCTTTTTGATAAAAATTTATCGGAATCTACAAAATCATTGTAGTCAGTAATTAATATATAATAAATTTAAACAAAAGTAATACATACCGATAGCCGTTAATTTAAATTCGCTTTGACTTGCCATTTTTATTTTTTTCACCAAGGAAATGGATTTCTGTAAATTTTTTGTTTTATATGTAAAAGGAACCCTCCTGGATTTTTCTTTTTACGAGACATCGCTTTTTGTTCCTAAGCGAGTAATACGGGAGTACAAAAACGAAAAATCTCGCTCATTGCTCCCAAATCATGCCTCATGGAGCAATATTTTTTTACTCGTTTAGGAGACATCGCTTTTTGCTCCTAAGCGAGTAATACAGGAGTACAAAAATGAAAAGTCTCGCTGATTCCTCCTTAATCATGTCTCAGGGAGTATTCTTTAGTTACTCGCTTAGGAGATCTCCCATTACGCTCCTAAGCGAGCAATACAGGAGTACAAAATTGACAAATCTTGTTTATTGATCCTAAATCATGCCTCAGGGAGCATTCTTTAGTTGCTCGCTTAGGAGATCTCCCATTTGACTCCTAAGCGAGTAATATAGGAGTACAAAACCATCAAATCTCTCTTATTGCTCCGAAATCAGGTCAAGGGGAGTACTCCTTTATTCCTCACACAGGGAGATCTCCCTTCAAGTTCTAGTGGGAATATTTCTCATATCCATGTCTTTGTTGTTTTGTTTTTAGTCTTTATGGCGTTTTGATATACACTTACGGTATAGTAAATATACCTCTCTGAACTTGGCAGGACAACTTTTTTTCAAAGCAAAAATTCCTATCGCATAATTTGCCGTTAATTATCCGTAAATTATCCGTGAAAAGAATAATTTTGCCGCGGACATATTTTAAAAAATATCGAGTGCCCTGCTAACTTCCGTGGAAGTTAGCAGGGCACCTTCTGAAAACCAATAAAGGAAACCATTAGCTTATTGATAATTTGCCGTAAATTATCCGTTGTTTATCCGTGAAAAGAATTATTTTGCCGCGGAAACATTTTAAAAAATATCGCGTGCCCTGCTAACTTCCGCGGAAGTTCGCAGGGCACCTTCTGAAAACCAATAAAGGAAACCATTAGCTTATTGATAATTTGCCGTAAATTATCCGTTGTTTATCCGTGAAAAGAATAATTTTGCCGCGGACATATTTTAAAAAATATCGAGTGCCCTGCTAACTTCCGTGGAAGTTAGCAGGGCACCTTCTGAAAACCAATAAAGGAAACCATTAGCTTATTGATAATTTGCCGTAAATTATCCGTTGTTTATCCGTGAAAAGAATAATTTTGCCGCGGACATATTTTAAAAAATATCGAGTGCCCTGCTAACTTCCGTGGAAGTTAGCAGGGCACCATCTGACAACCAATTAAGGAAACCAGCTAAACGCAAACTAACTATTTGACAAGCGATATTTTTTAAAATGTGTCAGCCGCAAGATAATTCTTTTCACGGATAAACAACGGATAATTTACGGCAAATTATCAGATAGTTAGTTTGGGTTTAGCTGGTTTCCTTCATTGGTTTTCAGAAGGTGCCAGGGCAAGCGATATTTTTTAAAATGTGTCAGCCGCAAGATAATTCTTTTCACGGATAAACAACGGATAATTTACGGCAAATTATCAGATAGTTAGTTTGGGTTTAGCTGGTTTCCTTCATTGGTTTTCAGAAGGTGCCCTGCTAACTTCCACGGAAGTTAGCAGGGCACTCGATATTTTTTAAAATATGTCCGCGGCAAAATTATTCTTTTCATGGATAATTAACGGCAAATTATGCGATAGGAATTTTTGCTTTGAGAAAAAGTTGTCCTGCCAAGTTCAGAGAGGTAGTAAATATGTACATAATGACTTATGTATACAATGCCACCACGCTCGGTTTGCTTTTGACTCTTCCCTGTCGGAATAAAACAATTACTTAGTTACGAAAGTTAAACATTTGGAAAAGTTGTTGGAAATAACTTACTTTGAAAAAATGCATCATTTCGATCAGTGATTTTGAAGTTTTTTTTAAGCCAAACCGACGTTCCCAAACCATATCATGCTGACTAAGCTTAGACTCTTAGACTTAGCATAGTATGGTTTGGAGGCGCCGAAATGCATTTGAAAATAGTTGAAATCATATGCACAGAAGAATTTCAACTAATTATAGTTAAATTGCTTGTAAAGTAGTTGATTTTCCGACAGGGTTTTAACAATAAAAAAACATGTGTATGACATAATTACATAAGTACAAACTTACTTCGCAATTAATAATTACATTTGTGTAATCAATAAAAAATGCAAAATAGTTTAAAATGGCTCGTATTGTTATTGCTGTTGTTATACCACTTAGTGTTGGTGCACTTAAGTAAATATACGACTTTGTACTACATGTTTGCCATACTTCATAGCATTATCAGACAACGGCGTGCTTTGATAACTTTTTTTCTTTACAAAACAAAAAAAGCGAACATTAATCGCTTTATCGAAAATTGCTCGGGATTAGCAATGAAATTACTTTATATATCTATGTGCGATTTTCTTTGGGAATTCAAATATTATGTTCACCTATGTGAGCTGTTAATTTTGAAAGTGGCATTCAAGTCAATTCGTACCTCTTGTGCTTAAATAACCGGCTACTTGTAACCGAATGCATCTGTAAATCGTCATAAACGAACGACAAAACCTTCTACATTTGAATGATGACAAACGGCTCATATATTAATACGCTAACATAAATTTTGTCACCGTTATTTTTTTTTTTTTTTTAATATTTTTTAAGAGGGTTGACACCTTTTTCAAATTGAAATTCAATTTAATGAAATATTACAATATGGATGTCAAACGAAAGATGCTCAAGAAATCAGTTTTGCAGTGTGTTTAAAAAAAAAGTAAATTGAATTTAGGTGAACATTTGCAAAATCTTTCGTCTTTCCTTGCTGCCTCCCAAAATTCAATAAATCTATTCGGCCCTATTGCGTATTTCAGTTGAGAAAAATATTTCCAAAATTATAAAGCAAAATAAAAACCATGTTTCCCAATTTGATTTTGGTTTGGTTGTTAAATTATGGGAACAAAACTAAATGAAATACGTACGTACAGTATCGGTCATATCATTAGCACACCGATTTCAAAGTGATATTGTTTGCCACTTATGTACATTTATTTATTTTTAAGAATTTTTAATTGAAATACAGTTAATACTCTAAAAAGTTTTACACTTGGGTTTATATGAACTGCGTTTTAATTGAAATGTCTTAAAAGTAAATAAATACACGTAAGTGGCAAACAATATTACTTTGAAATGGGGGTACTAATGATATGACTGATACTGTATGTACATACGTATAACAATGATATATTGGTATTTAACAAGAAGGTTTAGTATATGGTTTTATTCTGACACATTTTCGGAAGGAATTGACATTTATAAAAATTATGCTAAAAATTGATATATGCATGTAGCGGAGCTGTGGGCAAAAGCTTTTCATAATTTCGAGTTAAGGATATTCGACTTTGAAATTTGTGAATCTAGTGCGTCTATGTATCTTGCTGAGTTTGACAAATTATGATGGTAACTTAAATGTATTACTTTCAATTAGGTTTTTTGTAAGGATATTTCATATAACTCTTCTTACTATTTTATAACAATATACATCCGTATTTCAATAAAAAAAAAAAACATTTCCCTGTTTTTATCTTTCACCAAACAGGCACGCATAGCCATGCTATTGGGCGAACGAAAATGTCTCGAAAGCCTCAAATCAGATTTAACACGACGCATTAAAATGTTGGAGTACGCCTTGCGGCAGGAGCGTGCCAAATTCTATCGACTCAAATATGGTACCGATCCGCCACAATTGAATGAATTGAAACCGCCAACAGATGATGCTGGTCTCGGTAGCGAAGTGGCGCCCGATTCCGAAGTACCATACAGTTCAGTATCGAATACAACCTGGCGACAGGGCAGACAAATGCTGCGACAATATTTGGCCGAAATCGGTTACACAGACAACATAATCGATGTGCGTTCGAATCGGGTGCGCTCCATACTTGGTCTCAATAATAACTCCGAACAGGAGGAGAATGTCAGTCCCAATATAAATGGCAATGAGAATAATAAACGTGCTGCAGAATCAGAGGGTTAGTAATTCACATTCAGTAAAATAATATTTAAATGTAAAATTTTAAAAATAATTTCCAATATTTTTTGGTATGCTTCATTTAAAAAATAGGTCGTCGCACGCCAGCTAAGAAAGCACAACAAAACGATGCCATAATTTTGGATACTGAAGCAGCGGTAATGGCTAATTTTGAATTTCTTGGTACTACCGAAATGTCCGACGACGATGAGATTTCCGATGATCTCGAAATGGTCTCTGGTGAGAATGATGATGCCGATGTGAAAACTACGAAACGTAACAAAAGCGGCAAGGATATGATTAGCGAAGGTAAGACATAAAGTGGCAAATTTAACACACCCAAAAAAAAAACAAAAGCCCACTAATTAAACGCGCATATTTACATACATACAAACTTACATATGTATGAGTAGTCCACTTGCAAAGTGCGCTTTGTATTATTTTTTCGATTTTTTGTTTTTGGTGTGTAACGTACGTAATTTAAAGTAGTTTCATGTACACTAACAACAACAAAATCTTCCTATATTCAGAAAAAAAAATAGCATCAAATGTTAACTAGTCTTGCAAAAGTCGCTATCATATCTACATATTTATAAACTTTCAAAAGTCTCCCATCTTCTGATGAAATTAGAAAGCTGCTTTAGATCGTATAGACCGTAAATGTTGTTATGTTTTGTTATAATATTATTAGGCTCTTACTTATCCAAATTTTCAGGTAATAAAACAAAATCAATTTAGATGTTACTTGTTGTCATAGTCGTTTTTTTTTTTAATTTAAGGCTTACTATTATAAAATCTCATAACGTTGTTTGCAAGTGGACTACATGTATGTATGTGTGTATGTGAATATGGTACTAATTAGAAAGTATGTATTGACTAACTTATTACAATTATTGTCTTATATACATATGCATATACATATTTAACTTACTAAAATGCGTATTCTTGCAATTTGCTTCTTCACAATTAATTTTATTCTATCGCGCATCTACCACATACCTACTATGTACCTACCTTATCTAACGACAATTTGGTAAACATGTTTTTTTTTTATATCTCTTACTTTGCACTTTTAAATGGCTGGTAGTTAATGAAAAGTCGAATTGAGCGGCGCAAACGCCTAATCGCTTATTGCAAGCTTGGTACTAGAAATGAGGTTATGGAAAGAATATCAAAATTTGTGCTATTTAGCTATGCATTTACCTGTACCCTAATTGGATGATATGATGGATACTGTAATTTAAATTTGTAGTTAAACATGCAACATGGAAAATAATAATAAATTACATCAGTATGCAGGTTCTAATGTTTATATTTAAAATTGTTAACAAAACGAGGCATAGCAGCTTCTTTTGTTGCTCTGAAAAAGATGAAATGGAAAAAATGAATATGCCCACCTATACAGTTTTAATCTAAAGTCAAAGTTAAAAATGGCAAATTATATTTCAGAATAACTAATGTTGCCGCCTTTTGGCCGATGAGGCTATTTGTTAGAGGATCGTATATAAGGCCGGCTGTACAGAACAATTGCTCACTCTGAACGCCTGCGCATGGAGCGGTCAATTATTTGCGAGCTCGATCCGTCATTCTGTAGTATTTTATTTTAGTTTTACACGAATCGAGAAGGTTTTCACTGAGAGAGAGGCTCGTTTTACTTTAAGATCGGCCTTCAATTGAGGTTTGATTTCACATTTTTTAATGTCTACAGATTCCACATCCGAGTCTTCGCTTTCGCTCGGAGACTATAAAATTTCTTCTAGGTTGCTTATAAGAGGCTGACTTCCAAAACGTCAATTGTTTTGCATACATACAAAGTATAATGTTCCATAATGCCGAACTACAAAAAAAATTGACAATGCATAATTGTCCAAAACGCATCCGAAAAGTTATCGAAACGCATCGCTAGAGCAAACAGCGCATCAGAAACAAAGTTGATGCATCGCTTGTTCTAAAAAAAAAAATCTAAAAAATTGTTCATTGCTATATTGAATATTTAAAATATGCAGTGTATATGGTTGCAATGTGTCCACAACTATGCATATACAAACAGTTTGAGTACCGCAGTATAACAGTATCCAAATATTCTATTGATACGTTTTGGAAGTCAGCCAGACTTTTAACAGAACTTGTTGAACATTCGCATTCGCATAACATACGGATCGTTTGATGCGAATGCGAATATTTAAAATGATGCGAATAATTCGCGTAAGCTAATGCAAAGTTTCGGAACATCCTTAGTTCATACATACATACAGTTTACATACACATTCCAAACCAATTTTTCCAAAATAATCAGACATGCATAGGTGTTTTAAAAAGCTCGGTACTCAAAAACTGTCGTGCAGCTACTAAGTTATAGCCACGATTGACTTGTTTTTGCTAAAAGATATTCCCAAATATTTAATTTATCAGGTTAATATTTAGTAGCAAAACTATATCTAAGCATAAATGTGCCTTCGATCGCTTTAATTTTGTTCAAATGCCCTATGAAATAGTACATACCCTAGTATTTTTCGTACTCATCAGAAAATTCTCTGAAATTTCCAACATGGTGAATCCCGAGTTTTGCCTTTAAGAGGCACCAAAAATTTTAAATGGATTTCTGCCTAAATAGTCTCCTCAGGAAACCGACTACTGTAACGCTGTAACCACCTAAGCGAATTTTGGCCGAAAGCAACAAAGCACGCCAGTCGTTTCTCTTCTGTGCCAAGTGATGCCAATTGAAAATGCCAAGTGAAGCCAAGTCCTTCTCCCCTTGGTCTTTCCATCGCAGTGGGGGCCTCCCTCTTCCTCTGCTACCACCAGCGTGTTCCGAATTGAATACTTTTTTCTGAAATTTTTTGAAATAGTTCGCAAATCTTGAGACTTCAATGTACAATGCTTATTTGAGAGTTTTGGAATACAACGAAGAATACAGAAATTTGAGACTACATAAAAAATGCCTAAAAGTATTAAATTGTAAAATGAATTCTAAAATTTCAGCTTACAGTGTTTTACATAATTAATTTGTGAAATCATTTTTTTCCATAAAAAATTACTAAAATTTGCTTAGCTTTTTTTGCTTTACATCTTTTATAAACTAAAACATATACTCATCATCAATGCAAATGGACCTATGTATTTGACAAATATGAAATGTTACACGTGAAGCAAACAACTTTTTCGTATTTTTAAAATATAACTTTATTGTTTGGTATATGTAGGTATGTATCTTAGAGACAACTTATGGGAATAATCAAAAGAAAGCTCTTCCGAAAATATATCAAATTGGTAATTTAGCAATGATGATGACGTTATGCACAATTCAAAACTTCGTTATACACATATGTACATATGTAGCTGCGCTTTTTATGCATTTGATTTTCCAAATTCAAAATATTAAGATTTTTATTTTTTTTTGAAAGGAATTTATAATAAATCAATTTATTAGATATAAAAGCAACTTAATAGTTTAAAAGCCATTATATTTAGCCAAAAATCTCGATTTTCAAGGCAATTCGCATAAAAAGTAAATTTTATCAATTAGAATAATAACTTCATCAGTAATTCCATAGATAACCTATAAAAAAAAAAAATAAATCTTGCTCCAAAATTTCATGTTTCACTGAAAATTTATTCTCCAACTGTACGCTTCGAAGTGATCGGACTTAGTCTTCAATATCCACAACCTCCTCCACATTTTCCACATTTTCTTCACTTACTTTGGTTTCAATTCTTGTAATTTTTCCCTTTTCCCCCGCTAAACTTACGTAGTACTTAGTATTTACTTACGTACAATCGAATTGAATTCATTTTCATTGCAATAAAATCACGCAGCTGTTGCGCAGTCGCACCGAACGTATCAAAAAATTAAAAAAAAAAATAACAATCAGCTACTATAACAAACAAGTACAAGAAAATTTCTTCGCTTCTTTCTATTTCAACAATTATTTTGTATTTTTTTGTATTCTTTTTTTCGTTTTTTTATATATTTAAAAGATCTTGATGCCGAGGTTGGGGAGCAGCTTCTGAATGATATAAATCTAATAACCGAAGGTGCTTATTATTCTTATAAATAGATGTTCCTTTAACAAACAAAATATACTTAAATATTTTGCCTTTTTTTAATCTCCTGCCTTTTATTATTACTTATGTACATATATTGGGAATGCTTTTTGTTGAGCGAGTTGTGAATGGCAAAGAGCGGTTTTTTTCTTAACTTTTGTACTTGCGAAATGCGTCAAATCTAAAATTAAGTTATGTAATTGAAGCCTAAAGAAATGAGTTAGGATTAGAATGGATGCGCTTTGTTTGAAGATTTTCAAATTCTAATTTTTGAAGTGAAACTACTTCAGGAGAGAATTTTAAAAATCGCCACAGGAAAATGTTGTTTTTTCTCTCTTGAGAGTGAATTTTCGAAAATTCGAATTAATATGAAGTTTAGGATTAACATTAACGTTAATACTAGGATTACTACTGAGGTAAATTAGGTTAAGATAATGATTTTGATTAAAATTAACATTTAGATTAGATTAAGGTTAGAATTAAGATTGAGATAAGGATTATACTTAGAATTGAGATTAACATCCTCTGTGTATTTAATTTTAGGCGCTTTAAGAGTGCACAACAAATTAAGTCAAACAACAGACAAATCTTAGCGACATAGTTTTCATCGCAAATTTTTGACAATTAGTTAAGCTCATTGATAGGGTAAAGATTAAGATTGAAATTATAAATTATTGAAGGTCAAGATAAAAACTAAGATGTCTCCAAACCAAATTTGGCAAGGGATGACGGAAAATCGTTACACACTACACCCTTTCGGAAACACAAACAACCAAAAAGAAGATAAAAATTAAGACTAAAATCAAGATTAAGATCAAAATCTATGTTAAAATTAAGGTTTGGACTAGGAATGGGGTTAGAAGTAAGATTAGGAATGAGCTTAGGATTAAGGTTAAGTTTAAGATTAATATTAACAGTAACGTTTATTTTAGAATCAAGATTAATATTAGAATTGAGATTGAGAAGAAGAAGAGATTGAGAAGAAGTAAATATAAATGCTTAAATTCATTTTAATTGTAATTTTGAGCCGCCAAAATATTTCCAATCAACATAGTCACTGAATCAGAACCTGTAATATTATCGGTAACATCATCGATTAAAGCGAAAAAAGTTTTGCCAATATATGTCGAACAAATATCGTTGTCTAAATATGATATAGGAAAGCCAGCTCTAAAAAATGATGCAATAAAAATTTCACTTCAGCAGCTGGTCCAGATGCTTTCATGTTTTGTTTTTATGTTAAGAAATTATAGTAAATTGTGGCATATTGCTCTTTGCCTTTCGCTCTCAACATGCCTTTCAATCTTTCTGCATCCTTTTTCAATATAAGCCTTAATGGTTTCGATATATTATTGAGTTTTCATAGAAAATATATATATTTACGCTTTGAACTAATTAATTTCTTTTTTATTCTCCCTTTCTATTGCATAAAATAATTTAATTTAAAAAAAAACCCTGTTTCAAACTCGATCATCACACCGACTACATTGTACGTTGGAAATTTATCTTAATCGCTGCATTCCGTCGTTGTCCACATTGTGACCTCAATCTACCACTACCCCCATTCAACCAATCCCTGGCATATATACACATCTCTCTCTCTGTCTCTCACACTCCCCACCTCCAAGGATATTCATCACCGAATACGACGGAACAATTGAACAACACGGCTAACAATGCAGCTGCCTCAGCCGCGGCTCGGCGCAATCTTATCACCGCCGTCACAGCAGGTGGCGATGAGGAGGTTGACGCCTCACTCGGCCTAGGTGAACTTGCCCAACTGACGGTCAACAACGAGGCGGAGAGTTCGTATGATGCGAATGCCAAGGATGGCACTGGCGGCGGTACTGGTAGCTACCGCAAAACCTGGAACGCCAAATATACGCTACGTTCGCATTTCGATGGTGTACGCGCATTGATTTTCCACCCCGAGGAGCCGGTGCTGATCACCGCTTCTGAGGATCACACACTCAAATTGTGGAATCTACAGAAGACGGTACAAGCCAAAAAGTCAGCTAGTCTCGATGTAGAGCCATTGTATACGTTCCGTGCGCACACCGGTCCCGTACTGTGTCTCGGCATGTCCACCACCGGTGATGTTTGCTATTCAGGCGGTTTGGATGGAAACATTGAATGCTGGCAATTACCATCGCCCAACATCGATCCATACGATTGTTATGATCCAAGCGTGCATTCGGGCACATTGGAGGGTCACACCGATGCCGTATGGGGACTGACTACGATGCACAGCAATATTGTGTCATGCTCAGCCGATGGCACCGTGAAACTCTGGTCGCCGTACACCAAGGAGCCACTGTTGCGCACCTACACTGCTTCCGAGGCTGAGGGTACACCATCATCTGTTGATTTTGTGCGAAATGAGGTGGATCACATTGTTGTGGCATATAATAGTGCACATTGTATTGTGTACGATACGGAGACCGGCAAGCAGGTGGTCAAATTGGAGGCTGCTCAGGAGATGTCTGGCAATACGGGGAAATTTATTAACAAAGTGGTATCGCATCCGACGCTGCCTATAACGATCACAGCGCATGAAGATCGTCACATACGCTTTTGGGACAACGTTTCGGGGACGTTGATACACTCGATGGTGGCACACTTGGAGCCTGTCACATCGCTGGCCGTGGACGCGCATGGACTGTACTTGCTGTCGGGTTCACATGATTGCTCGATACGACTTTGGAATTTGGACAATAAGACATGTGTGCAAGAGATCACAGCGCATCGCAAGAAATTCGATGAGAGTATATTCGATGTGGCGTTCCATGCTACAAAACCATACATCGCTAGCGCTGGAGCGGATGGCTTAGCCAAAGTGTTTGTTTAAGTGTGCACATTTCTGGATGAAGCGAAATCAATAGCATTAACACCAACACAACCACCACCATCGCCACCACCACAACCACCACCATAAACAACAACAACATTGGGTTAGATGAGAAAAACAAGCAGCGGTACATTGAAAAAGTGTGATGGCGGTAATGATGTGGAAATTAATTGTAACGAGCATGCAACGTTGACAAAGGCGGCGACGATGAAGATGGCGAAGGCGAGGGATGAGGAGTTTAAAGGCGAACGAATAGTATCTAGAACACGACGACACACAACTGTTTGGAGACGACGAAGTCGAGTCGAATAGCTAGCAGATGAGCGGTTAAACAGTAGTGCAAGTAGAGCTGTAGTTGGTTTAAATTTAAAAAAAAAAACAAAAACAAAAACAAAGCAGAAGTAACAAACAAAATATATACACATATATGATGATACATTTATTATTATGAAACATATGGATTAAGAAGCATTTCTACTACATACATACAACAACAAGAAAAAGAAAATTGCTATATATATACGCATAATAAATAAATAATAAAACTTTTCTAAAAAAAAAAAACAAAAACAAAAAACTAAAAACTGAAACTAAATTTAAAGTCATTCATCAAGATGAGTTAGTTGATGATGTTTCCCATGTCTTAGAAATAGCGCATAAATAGAGACGAGACAAACAGAGGATTTGCGCATGCACGCAAGCGGCAAACGAATGATATACTCAACACATGAATATATTAAGTATATGAATAAATATATAATATACATACATGTAGCTTACAAATATAAATGTTTGCATCGTTTTTTTGTTTTAATTCGCCGTGAAGGGTTGTTCATTGGCTTGGTTTGTGGAATGCGTTGCCGTTTAGCTCTTTGTTGATTCACAAGATCAGTTAGAGCTTGCATGTAAAGTCACTTCGAGGGCAGCTTTTGAATTCCGAAAATCGAACTTTCTGATATTACTATTTATCTGTTTGTTTGAATGCAGAAAATTCCACTTTCAACTATGTTACGACCACGTATTTTCATGCTCAACAAAATTAATGACCTAAAAGTGTGCTAGAATGTGGACAAATCAGCCACAAAATGTCCAGCGCATTAATACTTTTAAATACATACTTCATATCAGAGAATGATTTAAACCCAAGTGTTTTTGATATTTTTTCCCCCATTTGGCTGTTTACATGGACGACTAGATTTGCGCTTTCACATTTTGACGGCAAAAGGCGCTTTCATTGCCACGTCTAACCGCACTTTAAGAATGTTCCAGTTATACACGAACGTCAAAAAGGAAAGTGTTGAAAAATGTTTAACGCCTTCTATAATTTGTAATATTTTTTAAGTTTCCTGATAACAGTATATAAGATTGAATCGACGGCTCCAAACCATACTATGCTAAGTCTTACTAAGTCTATAATGACTTCTTAGCATGGTATGGTTTGCAGGTGTCGATATGTAAAAACATGTGTGTGCGAGCTGCGTATTAGGGTTCGTTCAGAAATGCATCAAGCCAAAGCATCAGCGTCTTTTATATCTAAACTATAACTGATGGAAATGTCTTAATTGCGCAAGTAAGTTCCAATTCGGCTTTTAACCGTGGTTGCGCATATTTGACATTTCCATCAATTATGGTTTAGATATAAAAGACTCTGATGCTTTGGCTTGATGATGCATTTCTGAACGCGCCCTTAATTACCGCCTTGTTGCTTTCTTGATGATATGTTGCTGATGCTCAAGTGAAAATCTTCTGAAATGCTGCGAAAATTGCGAAGTGAAAAATTTTTTGTTGCTTTTGATTTGCCAATGATGAACAATTGATTGTCAAAATTTTGTTCCACGAACGCTTGATGTAGGCAAAGTCACCAAATTTTTCGCGTAGAACGTGGTGCTCTTTCATAAAAAGTAACACTGCCGCATTAATTGCAGCTCGAATACACCCTAAAACTGGTTTTCCTATGGAACAGCTTTGCAGGACTTGGAAAATACCCCTATAGTAAATCTGCGTAACTTCCAGTTACATACAATTGTACGTAGACGCGACTGTCGTGGGAACGTGGAATAATTAAATTTCTATTTATTCGATCATATTGTTTCATAATTATTTCGATTATCAGTACATTGATTTCTTTATCTTTGATTAATGTTTTTTTTTTTCAATCATATTTCATAGATATTTTTTACAATTATTTAGATTGTGGTTTAGGTACATTGTTATTTTAAAATGTTTATTTCTCATACATACTATATTTGATTAATTTTTTACAATCATTTCAATTATATTTCACCGTTTTTGCAGTTTTTACAATCTCAATCATATTTGATCGACATTTTATTTATATTCAAAACTAATCGATTGGATTTTTTGGTTGCACCCGAAAATACTACGCCCCATTATTTAGATCAAATTTGATTTGTTTATCCATAATTTTTGATAATAATTTTCGTTACTTTTGGTGTTACATTTTTTCGAACAACTTTGATCACTAATTTTGATTTCATAGATAAGATAGCCATTTGGATGTTATCGATAACTTTTTTCCTTCACTTCTTTTTTATTTCACTTTTGATATCACATATGTATAATATACATATGTATGATATATTTTTCGATAAAAAATAATCGTACAATTGAACTTAAAATTAAAAAACTTAATAATTAATAATTAAAAATTAATAAAAAAAAAATCTTTTGCTTGGGCTTCTCGACCATGACACTGTATGAGGCCGTGAGAGCAGAAGTGGCCCAACCCTTTTTTTGTACTTACTACTGAAAATAGTTTCAAATGAGATAAATTTTAAAATAAAAGTCCCTTATTCCTTAATTTTAAGGTGCAACGCTACAAAGTGAAAAATTTATCACATTAGACAGAATTTTTTTTTTGTTATTTTATGGCCTTATAACAATTATATTCAACAATTTTGATTGAGCTTGAGGCTGTTAAGTTATTTGTTTTTGTTATTTTATGGCCCTACAACAATTATATTCAACAATTTTTATTGAGCTTGAGGCTTTGAAACTACTTTTAGTTAAGTGTTAGGTTACTTCTGCTCTCGCGGCCTCATATAAGCACTATTAAGAATTTATCGATAAAAATTAGGGGCATGTCCTCAAATTATTTTGATCACATTTAATCAATACTTTTTGATTTCACTTTTCCAAGCAAAGTGTTATGAGAAGGAAAATATAATTTATCAATATTTTTTCGATAAAAAAATTATGTTAGACTTGGGCTAAATTAAGAATTTATCGATATACTTTCGATAAAAAAATAATCGTTATACTCGGGCTAAATTTTCTTCGATTAAATTTAGCAATACTTGTTTGAATCACTTTTCGGAGCATGGTGTTATAAGAAAGGCAATTAGGAATTTATCGATATTTTTCAATTAAAAAATCAAAAAAAAATTTCGAGCACATTTAAGCGCTACCCAGTCAGCGAAAAATCCGAAAATGGATACGAAAAAGGAAAAAAAATTAGATGAAATGCGAATTTTCGTCCGTTTACCGATTCCATTTTCGGATATTTTAACGATCGGTTTTCCCATTAAAGTTTACGGTGAAAATATCTGTATAGACAAAATACCGAAAATTGTTTTGAAACCGATACGCTTTTACAGGTTTTATGATTGAAGTTTTAGTTCATATGCTTTCCTTCTGCACTTCACAGATGCTTTTTCATGGTTCGAAAAAAATTAAGAATGTGCCTAACGGCATTCGAACCCGGCACCAAATACTAGCCTCCAAATATTCAGCTTGCACAAATAAAATACAATTATTGCTTTCAAATAACATCATTTTCAAACGGTTTCCGCATACGAAAGTGAATGAAAATTATAGTCGTGTTTTATTCGTTTCCGTATACAGAATATTGTACGAGACCGCACTGTCTACAAAATTTACGTTTCTCTGCTGGCTGGCTTACCTTTTGATTTCACATTTCAAGCATTGCGTTAAGAGAACCACTTTTCAATTGAGATAATCTGATCTTCGGGAGGTTTAGAATACCACGCAAATTTTTCCGAACTGTCAAAATTCGCATGAAAATATTGGCGAGCTCCAANAACTGATCTTCGGGAGGTTTAGAATACCACGAAAATTTTTCCGAACTGTCAAAATTCGCATGAAAATATTGGCGAGCTCCAACATCAATGCCTATAATGGACTTCGCTTAATGATTTTAAAGAAGAAATCTTGCAAATTAACATTTTTCTACCAAAAAGAATTAAAAATGCCTTAACGCTTCAAGCGATATTCCAACTCAATTCACAGAAATTGGTTTACAAATGTAAAGCAAACTCTATTAGCGTTCTGGAAGCTTCTGCTTACCTGCCTCATCTTCCAGGGAATGACGACGGATTTCCAATGGGTATTAAATTATACAAATTTCAATGGGAAATTACGGACTTAAAAAAAATCCGTGTCATTACGTTAATAAAAATACTCATTAATACCGAGTTTACACCAGGCATTAAAATGAATTTAGACATCTAAAAAATTCCAAAACTGTTTATCTATGTTATTTATTAATGCCAAATTGATTTTATTTAAATGTCGAGTGAAAATTCGGCTATCGATTGTAAAGTTTAATACTCTTTGGCTAGAATTGACCAGTATTTGCTTAAGGCTGGTTTTCACTATGTCAAATGAATGAAAACACATTGTCAAATGGAACTTAAAGACGGTTTATTGAATGATTTAGATCAGAATATGTCTTCGGCCGTTTACATGTGTTGCTTAATTAGCTATCTGCCCGTTTTTGGCCCATGGTGTTCGTTGAAGGTGTGGGAAAAGGGGATAAAGTTGTGTCACAATATGTTGACAAAATTTGTTTTCAAAATACGACATAGTAAAAACCAGCCTTTAATCAGCGTGCATTTAGATTTAACACAAATCTGCCAACGACTTAAATTTTGCGTCATTTAAAGGCTTGATAGGTTTCCTAGATTACTTTTCGAGCGCAGGAATAGTTTCCATACATTAAAAAAGCAGAATTTGTTTGAAATTTTATATTTAATGCGAGGTATGTATGTAAGTAATCTAAGATGAAAAGCTCCTATTAGTGCGCATTAACTTTGCCTCCAATTAACCAAAAAAATAATTGCACTTAAATTTTTTTTTTTAACGCACTCCACATATTCATTTGAGTATATCATTCGTAATCTATTTTTTTTTTATTTACACACAACAATAAAAAGCGAGTAGAAATAACTTTAAGTCAGTAGAAAAATAAAAGTAAATTAAACAAAATAAGTGAACTGCATACAAAAATTAAACAAACTACATAAACTAATAACTAGTGTGTAAAGCTCACTTTCATTTGTGTAATAAATCTCCGCCACACTTCCCTGCCCGTCCTATGCAAATAAATACAAACTCGGTAGCGAAATTCATCCATAAATTAC